CTTTTTGACATGGCGTGTTATTCTGTTGAAACTAGCCGTCAAAAAATGGGTCCACTGTGGTCATAAAGAGATGGACATGGTCAGCGACAATACTCAGGTATGCTGTGGCTCTGACACGATGCTCAATTGGTACTTATGGGTCCAAAATGGATGGATGGATCCATGCTTTCATGTTGTTGACGCAAAATTCTGACCCTACCATCCAAATACTGCAGCAGAAATCAAGACTCATCAGAGCAGGCAACGTTTTTTCAATCTTCTACTATCCAATTGTGGTGAGCCTGTGTTTCATGTTCTTAGGTGACAGGAGTGGCACCCGGTGTGGTCTTCTGCTGTTTTAGTCTATCTGCCTTGAGGTTCGATGTGTTGTGCGTTCAGAAATGCTTCTCCTCATACCTCGGTTGTAACGAGTGTTTTTTTTTTGAGTTACTGTTGCCTTTCTATCAGCTGGAACAAGTCATTCTCCTCTGACCTCTGGCATCAACAAGGCATTTGCGCCTACAGGACTGCCCCTTACTGGATATTTTCTGGTTTCAGCCCTTTCTCTGTAAACCCTAGAGAGGGTTGTGCATAAAAATCCCAATAAATAATCAGTTCCTGAAAAAGTTAAGTTTAAACTGCACCAGATTGTCTTGAACATTTCTACATGCCTGAGTTGTTGCCATGTGATTGACTGACAGTTGTACCTAATAAAGAAGCATATTTTATGGCATTTATATATTGTAAGATGTTCAGTTGGTTAGGAGGCAGGTTCTACTCATAGCAAACGGCAAAGACTCAACTAAATAGGATTTCGGAAATATATGTACATGCCCAGTGGGAAGGGTTTTCATTCTAAAATGCTGTTTAAAAATGAAAAAGTCCTAGAAATATACAATTATATTTAAATATACAATTAAAATGTATATCCAGTTAAATCTATTTGATTTATTTGAGGTCCATTACATCACACGTTCTTGTGTATATGGATTAGGAACACCTTGTAACAATACAAGAAGACAAAGATAACAAAAAGAGCTAACAAACGGTGTAGTTTGCCTAAAGCACCTAGAATGGCTTACACGGCATTACTTCCTGTACTCTCAGTTTTTCTTCATGCCACCTGTAATTCAAAGATGGTTCTTTTCCCACCAAAATTTGCTGTCTGTTATTGACTAGCTCTGTAGGTTCTTATTTAGGAACTAATGGGACTCAATCCGTTTCCTGGCTTCAGCAGCTTTACTTACTGCAAACGCCTCCAGGTCTAACGACTGGAGAGAGTGAGTAACAATGTGAGAGGGAAAGAAAATGACTTAAAGGAACAGAAAACAGAAGTGCGCGTTGTAATGACATAGCTGCTAATGGTTTTACAACATCCCTTTATCTTGTAAGTGCTGACTTTCCAGTCATAAGGCTATTTGTACCACCTGCTCATTCTAATTCTCCCACTGCTAATTTTCAAGAATTACTGCAGTGAAAATGATGGGAACAAGAAATCCTCAGGTTTGAGACCACCGAGAGCCAGGTGTTTTGAGTACATTTGTGCTTTTAGCCTAATTAGAATTGTTGTGAAGCAAGTAACCTGTTGCAGTGCAGTACTATTATACAGTGAAATACTTTTTTTATGTGTTTGCTGAAAATTTCTTTTCACATTGCTATGAATATATAAGAAAAACATGAACTATCATAAGTTATGGCAGGTGAAAATGTATTTATTTATTATTATTGTTAAGAAGGAACAAAACAGCATTTAATATACAGTGCATATCACATGAAATTCCACACCTTCAAATACAGTATGTGCACGCTTTGCATTCATTCTGCTTGCTTGACATTGTATTAGAGCTGCACGATCCTGGCAAAAATGTGAATCACAATGTTTTTTTCGCTTAAAATCAAGATTTTTCTCATGATTCTGTGAATGTAAAATAAAGGTTAATATGATTAACCTATCATCATTGTTAATTCTCAAACATATGGTAAAACAACAATAATAATTTTAGGCCTATGTGTAGGTCTACTGTTGCTCTAAATCAGGGGTCACCAAACTTGTTCCTGGAGGGCCGGTGTCTTGCAGATTTTAGCTCAAACCCTAATCAAACACACCTGAACAAGCTAATCAAGTTCTTACTAGGTATACTTGAAACATCCAGACAGGTGTGTTGAGGCAAGTTGGAGCTAAATCCTGCAGGGACACCGGCCCTCCTGGACCGAGATTGGTGACCCCTGCTCTAAATGCTTAATTTTGTATTATTGTGAACTTAAAAAGACTTTAAATATGTCCTGTTTGTTAATTGACAGTAAAATGATGACATCAGAATATAACTAATCATAATTATAAATTTATGATGTTTAAGACATGCGCTTGTCATCTGCCATTGACAACATTATTAGACCATTTGTTTTTAATGGTAAAATTTGAATTTTGTCACTATCAGATTCCTAATTATTCCTATAATAAACATTTATTTTCATACACAACACTACTTTTTCAATATGAAAAAATGCATATCAAATGCTTGTCGTAATCATAACTGTAAAATGCGATATGATCATTTAAATGTGCGCACAGGTTTCACCTTCACTTCCTAGTGCGGCCCATGGCCACAGTCACTTTGAGAAAAAGCAAATCAAACGTCCTGCACGGCCCTCAAACAATTGTTTTGTGCAAAAAACTGAACCTTATTTATAACTTTATTCTACCAATCACTGAACATAATGTTAGGTTTAACTTAATGAAATATTATTTAACAGGGCCACTGTACAAGTAATTGTGGCTTTTGATTACTAGATTATATTTTAATTGGAAAAATGGAATTTGAACAACAAAACAAAATCAAATAAATGAAATTATGGAAACATCCTAAAAACAATATTAAAAAGCCCCTATTATAGGTTTTTGAAAAAGACCTTTCATGCAGTGTGTAACCAAGCACTAAATGAATGAAAGCATCAAGCTAAGGTTTAAATTTAAAAGGTCCATGTTAATACCTTAAGGGTATATATTAGTACCAAAAAAGTACAAAAGTGTTCCTCTTAAATTTTTTAAGTACTAATATATGCTTTTAAGGTACCAATATGGACCTTTTAGGTACAAATGTGTACCTTTTGAAAAGGTACCACCCCAGTGACAGCTCGTGTACCTTTATTTCTGAGAGTTTATTGCAGATTGTGAGGGATGGGATTGCATTATGATGTGAAGATGAGTAATCACAGCGAGATGCCTACAGATAAGGCTGTGAGGAAAACTGGTTAAAGATAATTTTCACAACATAACCACATTATGGCCAACCTTGTGCTGTCTTCCTGTCATTTACAGATGAATGCGACAGTAACCTAGCTTACCCTACCTAGCACAGGATTCTACTTGTTATTAAAAGAAGCATCAGCATCAAAGTGTATAGTCTAATTGAACTTTATCAGTACACAGTTTTTATGAACCAGTTTCTTATTCCTTCAGATCACAATCTGTAAGTTTTATTAGAATGATAAAATCCTTGTACTCTGTTGAGTTCGCTTTGCACAGCTTGTACTGTATCTCTCCGGTTAACTAGCATATTGCATCTAAAATGTTACATGTACACTTCTGAGCTTGCAATCCCATGGGTACTGTTGTTGCTAGGCCACTATCATCTCTTCTTAAACACTGGACATGAAAAACACTGCTTTTGCTTTCATTTTAAAATGAAAAAACTAGTGCGCACTTCTAACAAGCTTGCTCATACAGCGCAATATGGTCAGTGTTCAGAATAGTTAAACTTTTGCTGCTGTGTCAATTAATACTAAATGTTGTAGACATTATTATTAGTTATGATTAATAACAGAGCAATATCCAAGTGTTTAACTGCATTATTTGTTTTTTAGCATTTGCATTTAACATGTTGACCGTCTTTCGGATGAGATGTTAAACCGAGGTCCTGACTCTCTGTTGTTATTAAAAATCCCATGACACTTCTTGTAAAGAGTAGAGGTGTAACACCAGTGTCCTGGCCAAATTCCCTCAATTGGCCCTTACTGATCATGGCCTCCCAATAATCCCAATCCAACGAATTGGCTGTATCACTGTCTCTCCACTCCATCAATAGCTGGTGTGTGTTGAGCGCACTGGCGCCGTTGTCCTGTGACTGCCGTCGCATCATCTAAGTGGATGCTGCACACTGGTGGTGGTGTGGAGAGACCCGCCTTATGATTGTAAAGCGCTTACAATAGTACAATATATTACAAGACATTACATTATTTTAATAATGCATTTGGGCTCACACATATACTCTGTACCATGGGTGATTGTGCTTTAACACTTCATAAGCCGTGATGGGTATTTTGCTGAATCAATCACAATTAGGGTTGAGTAGAGTTCTAAATATCAAAAAAGTAGGTATTCAATAAAATGTGCATATTTCTATTTCGTTTATTGGTTCCTGACTTTTTCAGTCATTCTCGCATGGCGAATGGCAGTCAGCATTTTACAGTTGTATCTATCTGCCAGGGCATGTGACAATGTTGAACACACTATAGCTTAAAAACTCAACCCTGTAGAAGCTTTAAACTTAAACTTTCCATCTATTGGATGCAAACAGCTATAAAGACTAATTAAAGCACATCGTAAGCTGTTATTTTATTGTTTCTTCCAAAAAATATTGGAATTAGAGCTGAAAATCGGTAGGAACTGGATTTAATAAGCAAAATCTAAATTGGAACTGAAATTGCTCAAATAAAATGATACTCAACGATAATCACAACAGATTTGGTCATCAGACCAATCACTGCAGATTACAGTTATGAAAAGTAAAATTAATTGCTGAACTAAATGCATGTTATGAGACAATGAAAGGGTTATTGGCCACACATGTAAATCGGACTATTGTTGACCCCCAAAACCACACTATGACCTTTTATAATGCATAATAGGGGACCTTTAAAACAGATTACATTGACTTGTGTTTTTGTGTCATGTTAATAGAAGAATTTTACTTTTTTTTATTTCACCACCCAAACCAAATTCTTACATAATTTCTCTACAGAAATACCTGATGTTAAACAAGAAAACCAACAGAATTTGTCCACCCCTGAGGCCACAGTGATTCCAAATGACAAAAAAGATGAACTGACTGTAGTAGATCTGACTGATGCAGAACCAGCGATCTCAACCAAAACCTCAATGGAATCACTAGATGATACTCTTAATGAAAACAACAGCAACAACACAAGAATTGAAGGTGAGTATGAAGATTATAGTCAGGTTTTATGGACTTGGATGTGTTCTGTAGACACAGGATCAGAAGAGATACATTCCCTCACTATCCTTCAGCTTAGTCCATGATTATCAGTGGTCTCTACAGTGAAATAAACTCTAGGTTATGTTTTAACACCCATACACTCTCTCATTTACCACACAGTCATACACTTCTAATTTACCAATGCTGTATTTCTTTGGACTGTGGTGTAAACTGGTGTTCTGTCGATTTGATCTACCCTGCTAGATTGTCCTACCTCTCATTCAAAAAGTAGGTAGCACATTTTGATGATGCAATATGCTACCCATCAGATTTTGCTACCAGTGTCAATTGTAATGTGGATTAGTGTGATGTGAAGATGTAAAATCGCCCCAACCTACGTAAGCCCAACCTTAGAACCATTTAAATACAGTGTAGGTAGCATAATCTAATAGCTAGGATAAAATCTCAGAACATCGGAGCACCTAAAGCAGGGGTGTCCAAACTCTGTCCATATTTTAGTTTCAACCCCAATTAAACAAACCTGAACCAGCAAATCAAGCTCTTTCTTGGTATACTAGAAACTTCTAGACAGGAATGTTAAGGGAAGTTGGAGCTAAACTATGCAAAACACCAGCCCTCCAGGACCGAGTTTGGACACCCCTGACCTAAAGGAAACCCATGCAAAGACTGCACAGAAAAGCCTCCTGGCATTAACTAATACAGCATTATTGTAAACCATATTTACAGTAAACCATATTTACAGTATAGACATTTAAAGAATTAAAGCATTGTTCATTTAGTGTCTGCTGCACACATTTGAATCTAACCCAATATCAGTCAGAAAAATCTATTTTTTTTTATTTGAAAAATCTTTTTTTTTTTCCCTAGTTTTTGCACCTAGTTGAGATTATAATGCAGATTGAGTTGATTGAATACTCTAATACTCTAACTCTATCACTCCATATCTTCCTTTCAGGCATTGCCAATGGGTATGAATTCATTGAGATCTTTCTTGATGGTCCACTCTAAAATAAATCAGCTCCTTCCCAACAATTTACAATGGTAAGTGTGCTTCAGAAGGCCATAGATACTAACAGTGCTCCGCTGGATTACTCTGCTGGATGTGCTCAAGTAAAGAACATACTCTAAGAACATAACATTATTAGATAAGATTAGAATCAACTCCATTGCCATAAAACATGTACAAGTACAGAAATGCAGCTTAGGTCTAACCAGGATTTCAATAGCAGCAAGTGCAGGATATAGAACAACTGTGGGTGATATTTACAGATGGATGTACTATGAACATTATATACAGGTTGTATTAACTATGATCAGAGATTTAGAATATATGTATAGGTTGCTATTAATAATCTGAACTATGCAGATATGAACCTAATTACAAATGTATACATGCAGTGGATATGTACAATTCAAAATGAATTAGTGCAACAAAGTGCTATGAATATGTACAATTTTAAATGTGCAAATATTAAATAGTGCAGTGGTTATGGGGAGAGTTTGGGGGTGTACAATATGAGGGGGGCAAAAGAGTCAGTGGGGGCAGAGTTCAAAAGGTTCTGTGGGAAAAGTATATTATATACACAGTTAAAGTCAGAATTATTATTCAAGATTTTCTTCGAGCCTCTCTCGAAAATTCATCTAAAACAACAGCCTGGTTAATATAAAGAGCAAAAGTCAGTCGAAAAATGTGTAAAAAAAATTTTTTTTAAATTACTGGCATGGGTATCTCTTAAAACTGCGACTACACGTTTTGACAACACTTGACTTCATCAGGGTAACCTGATGTAGCCGCAGTTTCAAGGAGCAACCATGTCAATAAAGGCTTTTTATTATTTTTTCTACATTTTCTGAGTCCCTTGGACTGACTTTTGATGTTTATTCTGATGAATCCCTTACACAAAGAGCATCGACAAAAAACTTTTGAAAACTTTTTGTTTGATTTTGGATTTTTATACACAGCCTAATTAGTATTAAAATGAACTTTAATAGGCTGCTTTTAGTGCTTCTGACCTTTTCAATGGTCAATTTTTTTCAGCAGTCAAAAAAGGTCAAATGAGAATATAGTGGCAAAAATTCTGGACCAATGGCAAATTTTGGATCATTGTCAGTGTGTGGGGGGGGAGGGGTAGTTCTTTCAAACCCCCCCTTTCTACGGGCCTGTAATGTGTAAAACTAGATTCAGAGAGTTACAAAAATAAGGTATAAATAGGCTGTTATAGAGTATAAATAACATATTCACATAGACCAATGCAATCGAGTTGTACCTTTGAAACATGGCTTTCCATCTCTCACTGCTTTTTAACTGAACTCAAACACAGGTGTTGCTTCAGGTCTCATGCCATCATACACTTCAGAGAGATATCGGTTTTCTAATTCTTTCTGTCATGGTGTTTTCACACCTGTGCCCCAGCAGCTTTATTTCTGTTTGCAGCTCCCAGTGAAATTTGTTACTCTGTTAACAGCTGATGAGAGACCCTTATCAGCATTTCAGTTCAAGATGCCCCACGGTATGGACAAATGGAATGCACCATGGTGCTTATATGGCTACTATTCTACACTTTTTAGTGTCCTGTCAGAAGTGTAACATTCTCAGCAAAAAAGTCACATACAAAGTACGGAGACATTCTGTTAATTTAACCATTTTTTATGCTAAAAAAACTCAAATAGAGTTTTTAACTAAGATAATTTTCTAGTTATAAGTCATATAAACAGTTTATAGAAGATTTTACATACAGTGGTATATAAAATAAAAACTATAATTTAACTTTTATTTTTATTTTACTAACACCTTAAAAAAATGCTAGACATTTTAAATTAAATATATTTTAACACGTTTTTTTCAGTCACTTTTATTTTATAGCCTTCCTGAATGAAAAATATTAATTTATTTAAAAAAAAACTTACTGATAATAATATTAAATAGTAAATATTAGGTAGTGTAAAGGATAAAGCCAACAAGTAAAAACACACATTTATTCCATCTACATGACTACAAACTATAATTAACAGAAAACAAAAGGAAAAGCTAAGTTATTCTAAAAATCAGCAACAGTGAAAAATATCAAAGTTTGAAAACCAAGAAAGAAAACCTCTCATTCATTCCAGCTGGTTTGAAACTGATGGACAAGTTAGAGACATGAACTTGAAAGAGGTCATGTTCTCCCACCCCCATAGATAACAGCTAATGACCATGACTCCTCATAAAGCAGTATAATTAGCCAGAGCCCCAGGGACTATTATATAGGGTATTATTTTCCAATAAGAGGGTATGCTTTCATGTGCTCTCTGGTCATTGCCAGGGACTCTGTTTCCAGGTTTTGGCAGTTGATGGCTTCTTTTAAATGCTGTAGCCATACCTATTTACATTTTTCACTTTACGATGCCTTTGTTCACACAAAAGAGAGTAACAGAAATGCGTAATCAGACAACAGAATTGTAGACAACTGACAGCAGTTGGCCTCTCTATATACCCAAGTTCATAGACAGGACACATAAAAGTTAGTCATTACAAGCCTCAACTTGATGGCCGACATTGTTTTGTCTGTTTTAAGAGTCCAAAAGTCCAAGACCGAAACTGTTTTAAGTGTATAGACGTCAGTGCCTGCTCTCAAACTAAAATGTAATGTTATTAAACATGAGGTGAAAAAGGTGATGAAAAATTAATTAGCTAAATGCAAAATTAGCGAGTATGTCTTAAAGTGAAATTACTACTTGAAAATGTGATCTGTTAAGAATCATACCTGAAATCTTGTTATATCGTTGAGAAGGTCTTTACTAGACTACAAGAATACAACAAGCATAACTGTTTAAAGTAGAGACTGAACAATATCAAATACATGTAAATTAGAAGTGTAGCAATACACATATTTGTAATAAGGCAAGGCAAGGCACGTTTATTAATATAACACATTTCATGCACAATGGTAATTCAAAATATTTTACATAAACAGGAATAAAAGTGACAAGTATAAGAAAATAATAAAAAATATTAAAAAGTAATTGAACAGGTTATAATAGAATGAAAAAAAAGAAAGACATACTAGTGCAATCTGTCAGACGTAGCACAGTGCTCATTAGGTAAAGGCACAGCTAAACAGATGTGTTTTAAGCCTTGATTTGAATGGCGTAGTAGCAAAAGGCGGATTCACTCTGCTTTGACTGAACTCTTGGATTTTCTAATGGTAATGAGGCATTCGTATGAGGATTTCAATTCAGTATGCATTACAAAACAAACAATTCACATTGATTATTTAGAAAATAAATATTTTTATAGATAAAGAGGCTAAAGTGTATGAAATACAATGTTCTCTGTGGCACTGCGTTCACAACAAGGCAGCCCAAATGGCATTCTGTATCTAACAATTCTGTGTGCTCCTCCCACCCTCAAGAAAAACACACTACTCCAGTCAGGCATGTGCTGGACTTGCTACTTGCAATATGACTTATAACATCGATGTGATTATCATGAGATCATAAGAACATGCGTGAGGCATGTGTCCCTCAAACCATTTTGTGCAGCTGAAAACAGCGGTCTTCCAAAAATACTTAGCTGTGAGTATTTAAGAGCACTTCTGCATTGCTACATTTAACTCATTCTTTAACTGTCAGAGCATTAAAAAAACAAAGAACTCCGAACTTCACATTCTAAAAATGTGGTGCTCTCATCGAAAACAACTGAAAAATACATTTACTAAGAAATTAAGTAAGGGAGAAAAACAGTGGTTCCAGGAACATCAATAAACTATTCACTGTTCATATTATTTGAGCCTTGGTACTCACTTCATGAGCCCATAACAGACCTTCATTGTGCCTGAAACCACTGTTCCTATAGCAAGAGGATGTTTTCCACTGCAGATGACATGCTGAGTCCCAATTTACATACTGTCCGTTCTAAATAGTATATGAATATAGAATTAGTATGTCCCAAATCGTAGTATGTTGAAAAAAGTATGCCAAAGGTTCCCGTTTAATTTACTATTTCCGGTAAAAAAATAAAGTGTAGAACCATCCATACTCTAACTGCTGATATTGCCTACAGTACATTGCGGGTTGGACATGAATTTCAGTAGAACTACAAACAAGTGTGAAAAGTGTAAATAAACTACAAACATGAAGGACACGTGAGACCAACCGTCAAGTAGAGAGGCTCCGGTAAAGATATTTGTATGACTGTTAATTCATATCTAACCAACTGGAAAATATTTAAATCATGTTTTTTATGTTATATTTTATCTGCAACAACAATACTGAACTTATATAAAAGATGTGTTTGGACATCAACGTCTGAATGCATAAATATCCAAAGACCTGAGGAAGGAAGAAGCTGATTTGTTTTATATGCTGCTAAGAATGCGCCACAGAAGATGAGTCATTTACACCTCCAACACTATTCAAAGTAAAAAAAAAAAAAAAGTAAATCCTGCGCTATGATTTTAGTTTTAATAAATAAAGCACTTGTAAAAATCAAGTAAATGTCTTTCTTTTTTAAGACTTAATTTGGCCTTTTTGCCTTTTTTAGACAGGACAGTAATGAGACAGGAAGCAATGTTGGAGAGAGAGTGGGGGGTAGGGTTGTGAAATATCCTTGAACCGGGATTCGAACTCAGGATGCCCTGGCATGCTTCTGCACCGTATGTCGGCATGCTAACCACTAGACTATTGCGCAGACCAAGTAAATGTCTTTCTTTTTTACTCTCAAAATGTCCCCTACTGTGATACCACTGTGTTGTATCATACTGAACCATGAATTTTGCACACTGTTAGACTACTAATCGTCACCTAGGAATTATAAGGTTCTATCTGACATTTTTGTCAAAACACTCCAAACAAATAACACATGTCTCAAAACATAAAACCTGTGTGTCACAAGTTTGTTCCTGACTTTGCCTAAAGTATTTTGGGGCCTTTATATCATAATCTTTACATGCTTAATAGTTAGAACTCTTATGTTGCACAAATATTAGCATCTCATTTGGTTCAATCCGTCAATCTGAGTGAGCCACTGCTACCCTGGTTATTCACTACTCAAAGTTTTCATT